ATAGAAAAGCTTTAAGAAATATGCCGTCTATCCGACTCGAGCTTTAAGCTATCGATAGCACGAGACTATAACAAATCCTTGCAAGCAATCAAGCAAAAGAGCGTCTTTTTAACGATATAGATTAAAGAATACCGAGCTATTTATAAGTTAGCGAAGATAAACAACTTTTACGAAACGACGGGTATATTCGTGATAAAAGCATTCTTAAAAGCTATTAACGAAAAATAATCATTAACTTAAGCGTCGTTAAAGCTCGCAAAGGTCATTCGAAACGACGAGCTGTTATTGCTTTAAAAGCGCGCTTTTTACGACTACTTTAACTGGTACGAAAGCTAAATCGAAGAGAAGACGAACAATCCGAACTCTAACCTTTTTAATGTATTCGTTATTTTCGGAGATTAAACGACTCGCAGCACTTCCGGAAATAACAAGGCTAACGATACTACTTTTAAGCAGTCCGGTAAACGCTCCGATAGCTTTAAAAGACTTGCCAAAGGTTTTAAGTGCTCGTGCTTTAAAAAGAGAAACTATTATTAAAAAGCAATTAAGTGCAAGATCTTTCGCTATTACTTTAACGGTCTTGACGAAAGTGGATTCGTAAAGCCGAATCGAAATGATATCGTCGCTATAAAGAAAAGGCTTTAAGAGCTTAAGTTTAAAGCGCTCCGAAAAGAGATTACGAAAGAAGGTTGAGCATAAATTCAAATCGATAAGATCGTTTTAAAAAGCAAAGAAAAGCAATCGAACGATAGCGATAAGTTAAAATACTTTAAAAAAGTGTTAATAGCTATTATCGATCTTAAGCTTTTTAGCACGCTCGATAATCTTATCTTTAACGGTCTTTATAGCACGGCTGATAATAAGCACTAGTTATTTAATAGCACTCTTTTCGATAATTGCGGCGCTACTTACTTTGTTAACGATAAGAATCTTTTAATGCTAAGGTCAATTCAGCGCTCTCGCTTAACCGACTTTATCGAAGCTAAAACGAATAGTCTCTTAGTCGTCGAGCGAAAGACTAAAGTCTTTAAAAGAGCTTTGAACGGACCAAATAGAGCTAAGACGAAGGATTTGAAGTTAGAGAACGTCGCTATCGTTAAAAAGTTTAATATCAATATCATCTCGGAAGCTCTTTTAAGCAAAGCTAGCGTATAATACTCGGGATATAACGCAACTCTCCGTTACGAAGAGGTTAAAGAGAGCGTCGTATTAAGAAAGTTAAAAAAGAAGTTCAATCTTACGTTCTTTAAATACAAGCTATTCAATTATTTTCTGCTTTAATTGATTCGTAGCTCTTTTTGCTTAATAATATTCTTTACAACTTAAAAGCGCTTGCAAACACGCTACAAATTCTAAAAGAGCAATGTCTTTCGAGCTTTAAAAAAAGATTCATCGATATTTTAATATTTACGAACAAGTCATTTAAGCAAAAAAGCTTTCGAAGCGCTAGCTTATAACGCTAAAAAGGTAAGACTTAAAGGAATTACTAAAGTTAAATGTGAAGCATATGCTATTACGTACGCTCAATAAGTCATATCTCGCCGCACGTTAAATAACAAAGCAGCTAAGCTATTTTACAAGATCGCCTAAGATTTATTCGACTTTTTTAACGGTTTCGAAAGGAGTAGATAGTTGTTAATAATTAAAGATAAATACAATAAGAAGCTATTCGGCTTTATATTAAAGGACAAGTTATAATTAACGGTTATAAAAGTGCTAAAGGAATTTAAAGCATAAACGAAACGCAAATACGGTCTTTTAATAGCTGTTATGCGCTATGATAACGATTTTTCGGTAATCGCAATCAACGTAATCGGCTTTACCGAATATTAAAGATAAGCGAAAGAGGTTGAGATCGAGTTAAAGCTTTTATTATCTTTTAATTACGAACTTAATAAAAGAGCTAAAAGGGCTAAGAGAAAGGTAATAGAACGGTTTATTAAAATAAAAGTAAGAGCAAGGCTTTTAGAGAAGCTCTAGCTTGAGACTATATTAGCCGCTATCTACTTTTATAATATGACACCGAGAGCAAAGAGCTTTATAAAAAGTCCGAATGAAATGCTATAGCTTTAGTTTAAGCAATATTTTAAGTGGTACGATCCGGCGATCTTTATACGGATCGATATCGACTTAAGACCAGATTATAGCGGTTTAATTGCGTATAGCGCTCGTGCGTATTTAATGATTAAAGACCGAAAAGCTTTTCGTAACAAAAGAGCTTTTAAAGTCAAACCGAAAGGATATATAAGCTATTTGGTTAGATATATAGCTTTTAATATATATAAGGTTTATATTTTTATGTTTTATAAAATGATTGTCATACGTAACGTAACGTTCGATAAGACTTAATTCTATCTTAAAGACGAAGAAAAATCGGTCGGCTAACCGATTAACGAGATTAAGAGCATCGTTATTGAATTAAAAGATATTAAGGATTTTAGTCAAACAAAAGACGCTTTATTTAACATAAAGAACGTTGCAAAAGATCGCTTAAAAAAGACGAATGTAATTGATATAAAAGGTGAGCAGCCGTTAAACCTTATAGAAGTTGACTTAAAAAGATTTAATCAAAGCTTAAAGGATGCGATTTTATTTAATCCGAGCGATGCATAAACGTTAAAAGCTTTAACTTTAATTAAAAACCTTATAAATACGTTTATATTAAAAGCAACTGCTTTACGAGACGATCTAATAGACCTTGACGATTCGAATTACACCGCTAACCGTTTCGCTAGCTTTTTAGCTAAGAGCAAAAGCGAAGGTGCCTTAAGACTGCCAGAAGCAAGGAAGAGCACCGTAGACGAGCAAAAACCTGGCCTTAATAAGAGAGCGCGCAAATTATACTTTTAGGTTGTTATTTAAAGCCGAGGCCCGAAGGGCTAAGCTATAAGCCGACCAACGGGAGCTTTTACGTTAATAATCGGCGGAGATTCAAACCGAACAATCAAAAAAGAGCTTTTAGACCTCTTTAAAGCGAGCATTAATAATAAGAAATTGGATTATAAACACTTTAGATAAAATTCCGATTTTAATAAAGAGCATTCACTTATTAGTAGCCGCATTAGAAAACGCGCGAAGATATACGCAAGTGTTAGTGAGCCTCTCTTAGACAACTCACTCGCCGATTCGAACCGCTATTCGCGCGTCTTAGATTTTGTATCGACTTTTTAAGCTAATAGCGATCTTGTACGCGAAGATAGCAAAGATTACGAGATATTGCACGCTATTATAGCAGCTGCTACTTCGTTTAAGCTGTCATTAAAACAGCTTAACTTGCAAGAACGAAAACATTTAAAACTTTTTACTTATTAAAAAGAGCTATAACGACACTTATACGGCAAGGAGTTCAAGGACGGAGCTCTTATAAAGCTGAATAATCTAAAGAAGAAGAATTGTTAAAAAGTGATTCTCGAGAGCGAAGCTAAATTAAAACTTATATCTTTTAAGTGAGTGTTTATATATAAGATTAGCTCGTCCGAAAAGATCGTAAAGTTTAAATCGAAGATTATAATTAAAAGCGACTTTTAAGACGAATCTATTATCTATTTAACTTACGCTGCTACGCTAGCAGCTAAATCGTTTAAGATAATAATAGTTATAGCAGCCGAATTTGATTTAAAAGTAAAACAGTTCGACGTCGTCAACGCTTTTATTAACGCTATAAGACACACGGACAGCGTCTTAGTCACATGTTATCTTTTTAACGGTTTTAAGCAAAAAAGTATGCTCGTAAAGGTCGATAGAGCTTTATATAGACTTAAAGACTCGCTAGCTTTATAGTATTTCGACTTTATAAGCATATTCGATAAATTAAAGCTTACTTTATTCGGTAAAAAACCGTGTATTTTTACGAATCTAAACAAAACGGTCTTTATAGCGTTTTACGTAAACGATATTCAAGTTATATACTATTACTTTAATCTTTTTAAAGCGCAAGAAATCATTGACGGTCTTAATAAAGCGTACGAGATCGAAGCGATAAAAGATATTGAATAGTTTCTTAATATAAAAGTCGCTCGAAACCGTTAGCGAAGAACGCTGACGCTTATGCACGACGCTTATATTAAAAAAATAGCTAAGAAATTCGAACTTACGGACGGACGCTGCTTAGCAATTCTATTACCGTTTTATAACTTAGTCAAAAATAAAAGGATAGCTTCGCGGAAGCAAGTGAAAGAGTACTAAAAGAAGGTTAGATCCGTGCTATATATAACGATTATATTACGCTTAGATATAGCTTTTGCAACTTTTTAACTTTTTCATTTTAGTACTAATCTAAGCGCGAAGCACTTTCGAGCTATAAATTAATGTCTGCGATATCTATTTAGCTCGCGCTTCAAAGGTATTCAATACAGCTAGTTTAGCAAATCAAAGCTAGTAATAGCCTTTGACGCTTCTTACGCCGATGACGAAGAGACAAGGCGATCTTCTTAAAGGTACATTGTGTTTTTATTCGAAGGTGCGATCCTTTAGAAAGCTTTAAAACAAGATATAGTTATTATATTATCTACTAAAGCGGAGCTTCTTAACATGGCCTTCATAGTGAAAGAGACTATAGCGCTCTAACGGTTTTTTAAAGAGCTGCACCTTCGTTTTGCGGCGCTTTAAGTAGTCTATTATAATAATTAATAAATAATAAGGCTTATAGCTAGTAAGAAAGAGCGTATCTTTACCAAGCTTCGCTACGTCGATATTCACAATATGTGGCTGCGTTAAAAGTACTTTAAGAAGAGCTTTCAAGTTTAATATCTCTTTACTAAAGAGATGCACGCTGACGGTCTTACTAAGAACCTAACTCGACAGAAGTTTAAGAGCTTTATTAAGCTTTTGAATTTACAAGACGCTCGCGCGTTAATCGAAAAGCTTTAATAGCACGCATATGCTATTCACTTATTATATTTTATTTTTTTTTTATTTGCACGTGATTTAAAAGAAAACATTTATTTAGCAATCATAGCCGTTATTCTATCTTATCTTATACGCCTTTACCTTTCGTCCTCTTATAATAAAAGATCGATTAGAGCTTTTAGCAATCTTTTCATTTTAGCCCGGCGCTTCGCAAGAGTTATAGCAACGGCGGGCGCCGCCGCGAGAGCGGCAAGCGCAACGACTAGCGCAAAAGGGACGACGACAATAAGTGCGACGGGAGCGAAAGGAGCTGCGGGGGCGACGAGAGCAACGAAAGCGACGAGAGCAATAAGGGCGGCAAGCGCAAGAGCTGCTACAGCAGCAGATTAAAGCCTTTGCATAAAGTCCGAGAAGAAGTTTTAGTTAAAAGGAGCTGCTTAAATTAGATTATTTCGAAAGTTAAAAAGCTTGACTTACGAAAGGGTGACATGCTCGAAGCGCTCTGCGTCACCGGACTACGATTTGCTGCTACAAGACTATTTAATCTAACAAAGGCTATATTCAAATTAAAAGTCTTAAAAGCAAGAGCAAAACCTGCAAAGCTACCGGGACTACTTTCAAAACCCTTACTTTTATTCGCTAGACCGCCCGGACTATTAGCAGCACCTCTTAAAAGAGCAGTATTTAAAGCGAGCTGTTATCGTACAGCATCTCGGAGACCTTGGCGAACTTTTTGTGTAGCACTATTATCCTTAACGCTTACGAAGTTATCGAAAGCGGTGTTAGCAGCGGTAGAAGCAGCGGTGCAATTGCTATAGCTACCTCTAGCACACCGGAGACAGCGTATGACGCTCGTGTCGCAATTATAGCAGTCTCTATTAGACCTCGATGTGATCCTATTATTAATACACTTGATGCACTTCAAAGCCTTAACGGTCGTTAGCATAAGCAAGCGCTTAGTAAGAGGGTCTAAAGAAGAGGGTAAAGCTTCGAAGGTAAGAGTGCGTAGTATAGCCGCCGCAGCCGCCGCAATTGCAACAGCAGCAATAGCTAAAGCAAAGAAGGGATTTTCTTAATAGTTAGCATAGATATATTAATCTATTAAGAGTACTTACTCTTAGACGGCCTCGGCCGCGCTTAACGATTCCACCAGATTGAGTTACCTGCTTAAAAGGCATTGTATAGATAGATAAAGGTTTAAGTGTTTGTTATAATAAAAAAGAACGCGCTCTTATTTATATAGCAACGCGACAAGGACGGCGCTAAGGACCTCCGCTACGTGATAAGACCGACTTAAGAAGGAATTGCATTCTTAACTGACACTTAATCAATAATAATAACCGCTATTTGTTTGTTTAGATTACGATAATAATCTTTTTTATTTACATCGAGTTTAAAGAGCTTAGTCACTCATTTTTTTTCTTCTTTTCTGTTTGCTTGCAGCTCAGCAGCTACGCTGCTGACCTAAGAAGTGTATTATGCGGAACAGGCATAGTTCCACTTAAGCTACATGTGACATGTCATATGACCTCGCCTAGTAGCGCCCTTAGCACACTAAAGCTCCTAGGTACATGTACATAGATCCTGACGAGCTTCTTAAATAGAATATACCAAGCTTCATTCAATCCACAGAATCTCCTCTTGATCTTAGTGCTAGTAAGCACTATACTTAATAAAAGATATTACCCGTTAAAGTAAACTCGTTTTTACTTACGTAAGCCTTATTACTAAAGATAGCTACGAAACCGATTTAAAAGCTAAAGTCAGCGTTATTAGCAAACGCTCCGTCTACGAATACAAAAAGCTTCGCAGTCTTTAAGTCTAAAAGCACGTAATAGATCTTTCGAGTTAAGTAATCGATCAGCTATTAAATCACTTTATTAAAGGCCTTATAATCTTCGTCTTTCGGTTCTTAATGCTAAGCGGCTATCGATAAAGCATAAGATGCTTTTAAGTAGCAAATAATAGCTAAATACGCTTTTCGAGCACGTTGCTTTAAGTATTCTTTAGCTCGTATAGCTAAATCGAGCTTGATTACCGCAAGCCTTTCTCTTTGCCCTTTTTGCTTAACTAATAGTCCGAACCCGTTTTTATTTAAAGATAGCTTGCATTTATTAAAAATCATTAGCTCGGCGTATATAAAGATCTCTATTTTTTTGTTTTTTAGCTTAGATTTAATTAGCTCTTTCTTTTTCTTTGCTTTTATAATTAGATTAATATAGAAGCACCCAAAAAGATGTGCTGTATAGAAGCCTGGCTCTGAGGCTGGACCTTATAATCTCACAAAGAAGTGTCAGAAAAGGTGGGTGGAAAGCTCGTTGACTGTTCTAGCTAAAAGATGTGTGCCCTTTTATAAAAGATAGGTCCGTTTAATGTGGCCTTAATAGCTATAGCAGGTACCTTATCAAGCAAAGTGTTTATATCCGTCTCTTTATAAAATAAGTAAGCGCCTTCGCTTATTATCAAGCAAAAAGAAAAAAAAAAGTGTAATAAAAAGAAAAAATCTAATATACAAAAAAAAGAGGTATCTTATCTTTAAACTTTAAACATCTAAACTACTAAACTACGCTTCGGCAGCTTCTTTATGATCTCTTTCCGTGCTTACGTCTTTAACTCTTTCGTTCTTTTTAAGCTGAGAAGGTCTTTTTCTTTTAGTAAAGCTAGCATTAAACGATGACGTGCTAGCAATAGCATCTTTAAAAGTGAAAAAGCGCGTATCGTTCTTACGCTTATTAATAGCATCGTTGATAAGTGTGAACTTGGCCGACAGAAGGTTAGCGAAGCTAAAATAAAGTTTAAAGCTATTAATTAAGTTATCTTCGTCTTTAAGCAAGTCAGCTAAAGCTTTTATAGCTTTATCGAATGCGCGGTCTAAGGATTCCGGTTGAAAAGATGATGCTTTAAGATCGTCGATTTAGCTCGTGAACCGTAGTTCACGAGTAGATTTCGCACTTTTTAAATTGATCTTTACACTTAAATCGAAGTCGTTAAAAGACAACTTAATCGATCGCAAGCTCTTTTTAAAATCCTTTAACTTATCGGCGTCTATAAAGTCGTCCGCTCGGCGGCTCTTGCTTTTAGAAAAGGACTTAGCTTCGTAAGTCTTAGCTTTAGCATTTAAGATAATAGCAAATCCTTTTTTAAATACCGAAAATAACTTCTTTTTATACTTAATAAAGTGTTTTTAAAACTAAGTCCGAGACATAGCAAAGATAACGGTCAATTCCTTTATTACTCGAAGTTCGTTCTAATCTATTCTTCCGATTAAAGCTTTTAATACGAAACTAACGTAATCTAGTTAAATTATAGCGGCGAAAGGCTAGCTTAATTTATTAATGATTTCTTATCGAAAGGTTAGCGGCATGCGTCTTAAGACGATCGTGCAAGCGTGCTTTGCAAAGCTAACTTTATTTTTTAGTATACTATCGTTCAGCAAAGCGGTATAGTTGTTAAAAAAGATAACCTATCCGTAAAAAGCATTCTAAAAAGCGTTTATATTTAAAAAAACACTTTGTTTCGTGATAACAGACATAAAAGTAACGAGATTACTAACTATAGCGAAAAGTTAACGCGGCGCAATATTCTTAAAAGTATCTAAAGTCTTCGATTTAAGTTTAAAAGCTTCTTATCTAGCGGTCTTTTTAAGCGTAATGTCGTAAGTATAGCTTTAAAGCTAAATAATTAAGCTTCCGATTTAAGTCTTTACGCCGTAAAGCATTAAATAGTAGTCTAAAACTCTATCTTCCATTCGTAAACTACGGTTCACGAGTCGTTTAATATCAGCGTCGTGTTTAATCGCAATCACTCGAGCATTATTATTATATCTAAAGAGCTAAAAAGGTTTCGAGTAAGCGATAAGCTTATAGTTTCCGTCTCGGCGATTAAGCAAAGCGGCAAAGTACAGCTTATAATAGCTTCGAAAGACTTGCTAAGTTAAAGAATACATTATATTAAAGAATACATTAGTCGAAGCTCCTTTTAAGTCACTAGTCTGAAAATAATAAAAGTACATCTAGATCTTTTTGTTTATAATAATAAAAAAGGTTTAGTTGCCGTACTTATTATTTAAGAAAAAAGCTTTTAATATAAGCTAAACTTTCGTATAACTATTTGCATTTATAATATTAAAAAAGCTATTCTTTTAAGCGGTGCTTATCAAGCTAATGCTTTAGTTTAGCTTGTTAAAAGACATCGGCTTAGCTTTAAACTTAAAAGAACTTAAGCTAAATATTCTTTTAATTAAAGTATTGCTTTTAGTTTTAATAGCGAACATCGATTGATTGCTCGAGTAAAGCATAAAGTTGTTAAAAGCGTTAATTTAAAAGGCTTCGATGAATCGATACAAGTTAAAACGGATCATTATTATTATAAAGCCTTTCGTAGCTAGCTTAAGGTATTTAGCGTATTCGAAAGTATAAACTTCGTAAAAGATTCTTTTTAATAAGTCGGTAGCGAACGATAAGACTCTGCGGCTAAAGCGGAGCTTCGTTTAAACGTTTAAGTTAAAGAGTTCTTTAAATCTATCTTTAAATTTTAATACGTTCTTTATCTTTTAAAAGACCTTTATGCAATCGCAATCGTCGTCGTTAAAGCTTAAATTAAAGATCTCGAATAGCAAAAAGTAATTCACTACTTTGCTTTTTTTTTTATTTATTTTCATTTAGCTACGACGGTCGAAGAGTCGTAAAATCGCGTTATTAAAAAATTCGTCTTTCAAAAGCTTACGGATCTAGCTAATAGCTTTCTTAATTGATTCCGCGGCAACTTAAAAGGCATTGTCGATGTTCTCGTTTAAGTTTAAGCGGTCGAAAGCTAATTAATAAAAGTCTTAATAAAAGTTGATAAAAGCTACGTCTATATTTATAAGGTCCTTAATCTCGACGAGTCTTAAGTAGCGGTTCGATATAGCTTTAGTTAGTTCGTACTCGAAGCTGTCTTTTTTTTTAATAAGTAATGCTAATAGCAATTAGTTTTCGAGAAAGTCGCGTTGCATTTTAAGTTTAAAAGCTGCAAAAGAGCTCGCGTCGATAGACTTGCGTAAAGTAAACATAATCAAAGCAATTAGTTTAGCGTTCGAGGCTTTATTAGTAAAAGATGACGTCGATCTTTAAGACAAAGCTAATAACAGCGAAAAGCGCGCAATAAGTGATTTAAGCAAAAAAGTCTTAAAAGCAAAAGGTTAATTTAATCTTGCTTTAGTTGCTAAGTTATCTTTTACTCGTAAACTATAATTCACGAATAAAGTTCCGGATTCGAGCTTTTTTTATAAAACGAAATTCTAAGTCAGATTTTCGTCGGCAAATTCTATACGTTCTTTAAGCTCGTTGTATTCGCTTTTAATATTATCGAAAGCCAAAATCAATAAGCTATATAATAAGACCTTTAGTCCTAGCTTTTTTAAGAGTCTTTTATCAAGAATAGCGATCTTATCTTTTTACTTAATATTGTTTTTATTTTCTACGGTCTAGTAAATGAAATTGATTATCGTAGCATTAAGCTTAATAAACTTGCGTCCTCGAGCTATATTAATTATAGTCTTTTAAAAAGCGACGTAAGCAATAATATAATAATTGATAACTTAAATAGCGTAAGCGTTAAAAGTGCAGTTCTTTAAAATGACGCTTAATTAACGAGCGCTGCGGATTAAAGTGCATACAGCCTTAAAATGATCGTTATATAGCAATTAGCTTCGAACGCCGTCGAAAGCTTTTTTAATTCGTTTATATCTTTCGGCGTTCTTATTACGTAAGAAGTAGATAGCGGTGACTTTAATAGTAAACTAATCGTAAGCCGAAAAGAAGTCTTCGGCGTTTATATTCTTTCTTACGCATTCGGCTTGCAAAAACTAATCGTACTGCAAGATCAAGTCGTTTTTTTTACTTAATCTATTGTTAAAGTCGGAAGTTGCTATCTTAAGCATAGCTAATTGATTAAAATTGCTTATTTAATAATAAGTTTAAAAGAACTCATCGAAAGTCTTAATAATTCGTCTTTCGAACTTTAGCTCGAAACTCGATTATCGAGCTAAAGCAGCTTGCTTTTCGCTTATTAATAAGCTAGAAAATGCATTACGGATAAAGGCTTTTCTTTTAGCGGCGGCTGACTTAAAAAGCATATTTAACTCGTAAATTACGGTTTATAAACTAAATATAAGATAACGGAATAAAAGCTGATAATA